CTATCTGGATGATCCACTGTTTTGCTCTAAGATGGAATAGAATAATGTCTATGACCTAGAGGTCCAAATGCTGATGCCTGGTTTTTGGCGATATCATGTTCCAGTCTTGTGTATGCGTAATAGATGAGATATCAATAGCATGAATCTCAGACACTCTGGAACTGTAGCTAACACTAAGAAGAAGTCTTTTCAGAAGTTGTTAAAAGTGTAGCCTCTGATGTTGGTTCACATGGTGCCTCCATCAGGGCAGACAGTACGATGGATAAATTCCATTTTGGGAAAGTGTGTGGGATTTTAATATCTTCCAGTGAAAACGATTTCTTGAGTTGACTTGGTGAGAGCCCACAAAAAGACCATCATGTTGTAGAACTGAGGCGAGTAACTGTACCATGTCTAAGTCTTTTCTCATTTCTCAGGTGAAGTAGAAAATCAGCCACTGTAGGTATTGTTATAGTTTCGTCATGCAAACCTCTTTCTATTCACCACTGGCAGAAGTTTCTCCATCTAACGTTACAGATAGCTGAGGAAGTTGGGCTCCATGAGCTAGCAACCGCTTCTGAAGCTGATTTAGAGAAACTTGCATCTTTGCCGCGATAGTTTCCAGGGTTGAAGGTGGGGATTTGCCAGGCTGCCGTAAACTACGTACAATTGTGGTTGGCGGAGGAGATCGGGACGTTCTGGTAGTTTGAGAGGTCCTTCTATGAGTAGTGGAAGCAGTCTTGGAAACCACGTTCTGTTGGGCCATGCTGGAGCTGTCAGAATTATGACAATCAGTGTCCTCGATCATCCTTAATACTCTGCTCAGGAGAGACCAAGGAGGGAAGGCGTAGGCAAACATCCCCTGCTAACTTATGGATAGGGTGTCGACCTGGAGGGCTAATGGATCTGGGACTGGGCTGACGTAAACGGGAAGTCGATGGTTAAGGCATGTGGCAAACAGATCTAGATAAGGGGTATCCCACTTTGAGGTGATCCATTTGAATACCTCAGGAAGGAGAGTCCATTCTGTGAGTACAATCTTGTGTCTCCGTGATAGGCAGTCTGCAAGTATGTTCACTTTGCCCAGTATGCGCCGTGCTTCTATCCTGCAACTCACTGAATCTGCAAAGTCAAATAAAAGCATAACCTCCCTCAACAAAAGTGCTGATCTTGTGCCCCCTTGATGTTGTCTGTAGCTATCAGTACTGACGAGTGGTGTAGTAGATGAGACCTTGGCTTGATTGCTTTGATAATGGCTCTCATTTCCAGACAGTTTATGTGTTACTTTTTTTCCTGAATTGACCAAATTCCTTGGATTGTGATGTCATCCACATGCACGCCCTACCCTTCGCCTGATACGTCTGTATATAGATGATGTAACGGTGGGGGGAACATGAGAGGAATGCCTGGCATGACATTTTGACGAAGAAACCACCATCGTAGTTCCGATAGCTGGCTGTGAGGGTGTTGTATTTGTCTTCCAGTCCCATATCTCTGGTGGTGTTCATCCACGCTTGTAGTGGACGTAACTGAAGTCTGCCTCTGTAAGTAAGATCTTGGCAAGACATCCACCGCGACGTGACCTGCTGGGTTGGTCAAGGGCACTCTGGATCCTCTCTATAGCTCTTAGATATCTGTCCTCTGGGTGTTATAAAATTCCTTTTAAAAGTTGAAACCTCACCCCTATGTACACTATGTCTGGGGTTGGTATTAATTCCGACTTGACAGGATGTACCAGGAAACCCATAAGAGATAGGAGTTGAATAACAAATATTGTACTCTGCTGTATCTTGATCGGCTGAGAGGAAGTTGTCTATATAGCCATGGAGTCTTACAAGATTTAGATGAGCAAAGCCGATGATGGGGGTGATAATCCGTGTAAAAAGCCATGGCGCTTTTGATATTCCGAATGGTAGCAGGTTGAATTCGAACCTTAGACCGTTTACTGCAAAGTGTAGGCAGGGTCTACAACTTGGGCGAATAGGCACAACCTTTTGACTGATACCATTTGAAACTTTGGGGGTAGTCTCTGTTGAGTACCTTTAGGTCTATTATCATGCAGTTCTTTTTGGGGACCAGAAAAATTGGAAAGTAAAAACCATTTGTAGTGTGTCTGACTTTTGGAGGATTCTGATGGCCCCTTTGTCTAGTAGTTCTCATATAGCCAAACTTGTGGCCACTAACTTGAAAACGTCGTCCTTTGGGGTGGACTACAAGCTCCGGACACTGTTGGAAAAGGAGTTTGTACCCTCTTTTTACCACTTCAATCGGCCAATGGTCGTCCGTAATTGACTTCCAATTATCCATGTATAGTGACAGATAACTGCCGACTGCTCCTGCAGTAGGCTTTAAGATGAATTTTGGTATTCGGTAATCGAGGTCTACTAACATAGCAAGGTTGATAGGATTTGGCGGAGAGATTCTTGGATGTAGAGTGTCATAAACGGCGGCTACCTCTACCTCTGGTATAGGATTGACCACGACCTCTGCTTCTTTGGGACTCATACCTGCATCGGCTTGGTCTGGAACGGGATGAACCGCTCCAAGTAGAGGCACGAAAAGACTCCCCACATAACATGCCTGCGTTTAGGCGGATCCGTGTGACTCTGGGTATCGGCCAACTGCTTTTCATGAAGCTAAGATGCCAATGAGATAGTAGAGTTTGGAATCTCTGATTTGTGGTGTGTGAAATCTCATCAATCACAGAGGTTAGTCTGCCGTTGAAGAACTGGGGCGCCAATATCGACTGAGACATCAAACTTTGTCTTAGTGGATCTGAGATATTGTGTCCAACCTTTTGAGTAAGCAGGAATTGTGTGGACATCCATACCTGTGCAGTTTGAAGATTTTCGTGCATCTTCAGAATGCTGTCCAGCGCACTATGAATGAATCCAACTTGTTCCAAGTTCTTTCAACTTTAGTGTCACAAGGTTGGCCAGCAAATTCCTATCTGATGCTTGCAGCAAACCAGTTCATGTACGTGCTAATGTTTATCATCTGCTTACTGACATTGTCAAATTCTTTGAATTTGTTCATCTCGACATTCATCCTCGTATTTGGGAGTCTGACCAGATCCAAATATTCCTCATCAATGGTAGGAGATGTGGAGAACGGAAAATTGTGTGTTTTATAGCATTGTCTCCCTTTATGGGGGTAAGGTATGCTAAAACTTCTGCTGGTAGAAGCGTTTATTTTCGCATTCATTTTAGTGACCACATTTTCAGTGAATGACGATAAGGTAATGTATGAAAACCTTCCCTCTTTTCTACAGGATTTTCAAAACCCTCCCATTCAATAAGCACCAGATCATCTACCTCATTGCTTGGTGGTTTGACAGTTGGGATCAACTGATAGATTTCATAAATGATATCTTTAAATGTGTAGTCGTTAGGTTTAAACATGAGTATACTGTATTCATCATGAGAAGGGCCCATAAAATCCTCTGGGTAGTATACCCCCCCGGCCTCTTGACACTCGGCATCACGTGGTGCATGCTTTCATCTCTGCTGCAACCCTTGGCTTGAACTGCACAAGGATTGTGCTGTATAACTGTAATAGCTAGGTCATTCAAAATTGTCTGAGCTATTGACAAGGTTATCACATGAAACTGTGGCTGAGGGAGCACACTTTTTGTACTGGGGATCTTTAGCATGTTTTACCTCAATCTTTGGCGGATAAGGTTGATATGCCTGGCTGGAAGAATAGTATGTATTTTCATGAGACTCACATGGTACATGTTTCCTTTCCCGAGATGCAAGGGGTGAGGTAGGGCTATGGTGACTACTCTACCTAGATACAACGCATCTTTTGTCCTATGAACCTTCTGACCTGTGACGTGTATGTAAATGGGACTTTCTATTACAATCTGAATCATGTGATCTAGATCTGGTCATAGATTTGCATGTTGTTTTAGCTTATTTATATCCTGTGATATAGCTTGGAAAAGTTTGTCAAACATTTTGGACATGGTTGTGGTCAATGAATGAGACCATTCACTCATACTCAAGGGGGAGAACGGAATAGATTTGGGCTCACATGTTTCCTTAAAACCATGAGTGACCAAGCTACCCATAACACCGAGGCATAAGGCTGCGGTCCCAAGACCAGAGCTGGATGCCTGTTCCTTAGTTTGGGGTGGGTGGGTCTAGTAACGTGATTTTCCCTCAACAGGAAAAAACGGGTTTTGTTCATACTTTAACCCTTTGGTGTCCGTGTGTTTCTCTGAGGAAGTCAGTTTACCTGAGAGATAATACTTCTCCAAATTTGATTTTGATTTATTTTTTTTGGTTTTGGGAGAAAACGATGTAGAATTATTTTTGTTGAAAAATCTAAAGATTTTATAGCTTGATAATTGCCAAAATTGTGATTTCATGATTAATAGACGTTTTCAGAGAACCCAAGATGCTGAGTTAAGTCCCACATGAACTTCATCTGTCAATTCCACAAGGACTCTGTCAGTTTATTTCAGCAGCCCAATCTACAACCTTGTGGCTCTCAGACACAATAGGCTAGGATCCATGATGTACAAAAACGGGCCACTCGACAAATTATTCAAATCACTCCCTAGTATGACTACTGTTCTTGTCCTAGATAGTGCACAGGTAGGGTAAATGATAGTAGATAGAGAGACAGCCAGCAAACATATTGAGTTGGCTAGTGCTGAAAGATGGGCCTGCACTACATTACACATGAAATATTGTGGGGTTTTCACTTTTCTCATTGCAGGTTCCTGGGCTAGTCTATTTTCACCTGAACTAACAATAGTTACAACACACCTGCCCTTTATGCTAGCACCTATTTTAAGTTAATTTCCAATGCTGTTGATGTTGATGGATAAAATACATTCCCTCATGTGTACAGAAACAACCATATCAAAAACACAAATGGTACTATTTTAACAGCACACCCGCAGATTGATAATGGATTCTACTGTCCAGGTCCTTCACTTTTCTTGTTATTTTGATGAGTTGATCCAGCCTTAGATGGCAGCAGTTGTGAAAGCATGATGGGGCTACCCTCACCTTTGACTAGTAGTTTGTCTCGTACTGACACCCTTCTGGGTATCTCGGCTTCAGCTGCATCTTTCTTAGCCTGACTCTGCTGCTTCAGTTTTTTAGATAAAGTGATCATGCTGGAAATAAAGGACACCTTATTATTAACATCATGTACACATCAACACCACTGGCATTGCAATAATTTCAATAGTTGGGATACTGAAAATCCCAGCACAAACCTTGTTAAAATTCTTCAAAATTCTAATTCTAGCATAAAGATTATTTAGAACAGTGTGCTAATCTAATGGAAGGCGAAATGAGGTTTAACGTTGCTTCCAAGATTATTGCACATACATAGCAATGTGCATGCACGAGTGTGTGTGGCTGCCACTAGTCCGCACTAGTGCCAAGTTGATAGTGCTAAGCCACAGTTTAACATGAATACCCCACTCGGACACAGTATACTGACTACGAGCTGACCAGTCCTTGTTTTAGCCTGTTAATGCCAAGCACCAGGCAGGGTAACAACAAGTACAATCTTTTAAAGTCTTTTGGTATGACATGGACCAGAGTTGAATCCTGAACCTTCCACTCTCCGGGCAGATGCTCTACAATGACACCAAAGGGCAGTTGTGCTCATGTAAGCAATGATAAGAGTACTAAGACATTCATGCAAGTGATAATGTCATGTCAAACTACATCCCAGCAACCCGTATATTGCAGACTGGACCAGACAAAACAGCAGTCAATAGCACAAGCATCAGTTCATTTCCTGTGACAAACATAGATCACACAGGCATATTCTTCTTATCCAAAGTGGGAACAGCTCACTGGCAACCTGATCAGCATGTTCAAAAGGTCATGAATCAGACACATCTTTCCCAGGCAAGGGAGTTAACTGACTATAACAGTCCAGTTTCCACCCTTGCCGAAACAGGGCGAGAATTATGGAGTTATATTTTGGATGGACTAATGAGACTGAAGTATGCCAGACACCTTCAACAATTTTGACTTTCAGCCAGATTGAGGTATGCCAGATGCCTTCAACAATTTTGGCTTTCGGCCAGATTAAGGTATGCCACATACCTACAACAATTTCGGTTAGTTTGAAGTATGCCAGTGACCTTAACCATTTTGACTACATTGAAGTATGCTAGATACCATCAACCATTTTGGCTAGATTGAAGTATACTAGGAATGTACATATTACTTCCTTAGTATTGGTTTCCAAATTTTTCTGAAGCCATTTTCACTTGTTTGCAAACAAACACTCTTAGTCTCAAATAAGAAGCGACCTGTTGAAAGCCTTTCAGAGCGCTTTACTTATTGGTTTGCATTATATATAGATATACTACCACAAGTTTAACAACTGCAACAGTGACTTGATTCGCTGGCTAACTTAACTGACATGACAAGAGACTGGGATACAATCTGTAAGGACAGCGTAAATACTCTTTGAGGCAACATCTCTATGCATTTTCATAACACTGATTGGTTACCAATCATCTATGAAGATTTCGATATTATTTAGGGCACATATTAACCAATTTCATCCACTTAAACAGACAAAAGAACATTAGAAGCTCATCAGATGTCTTTATTTGGGAATGCCCCCGATGGTTTTATTTCAATTAAAAACAGTAACCCTGTAGTGAAAGCGTTTTCGGATTTCAGATTTGTGTGGATAATATGATTACTACTCCCTTGTTCTCATTCATGTTTCCTGGTATAACCCTACATCTGTGTATTTGTCGTCATTCACTTGATGCTTAGTTAATGAATATATTACAGGTATAATTAGTGGTAGCACCACTCAGATTACCTGACAAAGGTTCCCATTTGGCATTTCTTATGTCTGGGATAATTATTCAATCTAAATCCAGGTTAGAAGTGGGGTGAAATTTGTATGTTATGTAATATGTACATGACAGTGCAGCAAGAGAGGAATGATCAGTTGAGTTATAAAAAACATCCATCAACCAAAATTTATTGATTGATTTATAACTGTAAATCTTGAAATTAATGCGAGCGTGAATTAAATGCAAAAAATGTGAGTGTTCTTTGTTCGCATTAATGAAACTCCACATTTAAGTCTCCAAAATGACTATCAACAATAAGACGGCTTCACTGCACCAACTTGAATATAAACACAAAGATAGTTTACTGAGCAGTTGTACCAAGTGTATAACAATGTCATTCAAAGAATAGGAATTACACAATAGGCATCCAGTGAGTTATCACTTCCGGGGTCAAGAATTCTACCCACTTGTGTCAAACTAGGCATCATTGACCACTCCAGCAGTCCAGACAGAGGCCACCGATGAAATACTTCGTCAAAGGCCGACACGACCCAACGCACACCGATAGGCTTCGTCACATTCTTTAGATAAACAACCTTTGTCTTGTCATCTGCCTTCAAGTTTGTTGACATCTTCTCCGCATAAAAATCAGTCAACTGTTGTTGGTACCATTATTTTATTGTTTTTGAACTTCCTTAATGCCATCAAAATAAACATATAAACTGTGTTGTTTGATGTGATTTACAGTAATCACTGTTATCTCGCACAGTGGTTTTCAAAAGGAAGTGTTTACATGTACAGTAAACTACCGGTACGTTTATAATAAACACTTCTTATAATGAACTGACTGACATAACAAACTGTTTGTTTGGTCCTGGACATTTGCTGTATATTTTATCATATAAAATTGATGGATATAACGAACACGCTTATAACGAAATAACGGATATAGTGAATTCTCTCTGTGGTCCCATGTGGACTCTGTCAACAACAATGTTAGATTGAGCTCCTCAGGTGTCACTAATCTGCCTATCAAAACGTGCGGCTGTTCAAAGTGGCAATAAACAATTGAAGGCAATTGATTTACTCAAGTACTGACACCTTGTCCTCAAATTACATCCTTAATTAACGATGAGGATGATGGTTGAAATGTGTATAACAAATGACAGATATAAAGAAACAATAATTAGTGGTCCGTCTGAGTTCGTAATAACCGTAGTTTACTGTATGTGTAGGCTTACTAATCCAGATGGAATACACCCATATCTGGGTGCGAAGTGCCTATGTTAAAAACAACATACTTTGTTCTAAGCATTAGCCGATTACGTTGAATGATGATGGTTACCTATCTCAATGGAGTTTTTTAAAGAACTGTGGACATCATGAAAATAATTGTCACATGTGCTATCTCAGCTGACCAATGAGACTTGACACCAATGTGAAACACCTGAAACAAACTTACATGATCAGTTGATGACACAATAATATCCCAAAACGCTCCATCTATTTTTAAATATTAAATTGTTACAACATCAAGTGACATCGAACAAGTGTCTTAGTACAGCTGCAGATGAATGGGTAATTGTCCTTTGTGTGGATATTTACGGATACATTCCTTGCACAACATAACTGCCTAATATTATAGATATAACTTTGGTCAGTTGTAATTACTATATTTTCATTTTGTTTTCAATCATTTGCTGTAGCATTGAACAGAATCATTCTTGTTCCTCTATGTTTTCCTGAGAATTTCTTTGATGCGAGACAGACAACACTAACTTGTTGTTTTCACAAGCCTTTTTTCATTTGTAGGCATGTATATGTCATAGTCAATGTGTAAAATGTGATTCACTCGGGTAATTTATAAACTGTTCAAATATTTCATTTTAAAAAAAATTTGAAAAATCTGTCCATTTATTTAATATGATTTAGCATTATTTAGCTAAATCGGTTTATGGTCAGCTCCACATAATAACTACAAGTAAATATCCCTATTTACCATTTGTTTACAAACATTCACCTCTTACAACATACGTCATTTCTCCCATGACATCACTACTTCTACTCCCCAACCGTCAAATCATTCTAACAACGCAAACGTATGGCTGTTTGCAATTTCACCCCCCTCCATTCAAACATCACAAAAGACTAATTATGCTAGGATTAGAATTATAAAAATATACAAATGTACTTTGAGTTTTGTTTTCTTTAACATGTTTAAATCTATCATTTACAGTCAATTGGTGATGAAACTAAACATAAAAACGTTTGGAATTCATTATCATAATAAATTAAATGGGCAAATGTTTCAGTCAAGTTTTAAAATAACTGAATATTCAGGTGTTTAATATATTTGAGTCATTTCACACATTCACTATAACATATAGCACACAATACAAAAAGCAATGTTCTGGCGAAATATTTACTTTGTGTGGCAAGTCAAAATAAAGTAAACGAAAATCGCACAATAAAAGCAAGTGACTTTGGCACCATTACCGTTGCTACCCCCCAACAAAGATACCTACATTTCCTTATTATTTCCAAGACAAAACTGTATTTCATTTCGCTGATCAATGTGACGATACACTCTAATACTATCAATAAAAGCGAAAACTGTGCTTAATGGGGGTGCAGCACAGATCACGAACTAGTTGAGATTTGGGGGATATCATCAGGTTACTCACAGCAAAAAAACAATAACAAAGGCAACAACCAGTCTCGGTAAAATGCTGTAGATCAGTGCCCCAAAGAGCTTTTCCTAAGAACAAAAATTGTTATTATTTTCAGGTGCTCAAAGCATTTCCAGTTGATGAACCCTATGTTGCGCGTCCGAACGGACGGGTAGTCTTTCTGATATTCAGGTCATCGATAAACTGTTTGAAACTACATAACAAATACGATTACACAGCTTTGTGACTGTGTCAGCAATATGATCAATATCAGTTCGATGGAAAATAATGCTCACATTTCACATGAACAGACAGTAATATATGGATACCACTTAGTTCTTCCAAAATCCCATTTCGACAAGTTTCAACTTCCCCAAACAACAGTATACCTTCTTCATAAACACGAATATATGGCGTTATGAAGTCGACGATAATGTCAGAACGCAAACATATTTCCTACCGGAACCGGAAGTTTGAGTGAATGTCCCCCATAATGTAATAATAAAGAAAACAACATTACAAACTGAAATACACCTTATATAATGTAGGCTTCAAATTTCGATTTACTTAAACCATGTTACAAAATTAGCTTTTGTTTCACACAACCAATCTATAGAAAAGTATTGTTTATGTCAGAAGGGACACAACACGGAAATGGCAGAGTTCGACTACCCGTGGCAATACAAATTCCCTCCGTTTTTTTCGTATGTATGAAACGTTACTGTGGTGCATGTTGTGGTGTAGAGTATGCCGTTGGAAATGTAGATATGTCCGGTTATTGCAGTCTTGTAAATATATATATGCTTTGACAGCCATTAGGTAAATGTTTTGTCCAATTTTCGGTCATTTGTGAGGGTTATAGCTAAAACGGCACCTCAGCAAAACGTCACCTGGCGAAAACGGCACCGATTGGCGAAAACGTCACCTCGCCTCAGGCGAAAACGGCTACTATTGCCTGGCGAAAACGGCACCCTATTTTTTTTTAACCTTGATAAAATAAATGATATTAAACTAACATGGTCGCTTGCAAACACCAATAATTGTGAAATGTTACAACTAGTTTACATTAGAATTTAGCCTCTACTCCAACTATATTCCAACTTAGCCTATACGCAACTCAAATTATTGTGAAAACATAACATGCCTTGAAGTAAAATAAGGTCATATCTAGATGTTGTCTATAAGAGAGGTTCTTTTAATAAACATGTCGGAGATAATTTGTGAAACATATTTTCCTCTTTCAGGACAGGGGTTCAGGATATTTGCTAAGATTTTATTATCAATTTAGCAGTTTTGTAAGTCTAGTCTTCTAAGAAGTATCTGTCTTTCATTCTGATAATTTGGACAGTACAAAAAGAACTCCTAGAATCTGCTTTGCTATTTTGATAGTGATCTCATTACATAGTTGTTTCGACCAGTTATGATACATTTCATGCGGGGGTCTTAGAAGACTGCAGCCCCATACCTCGGCTCCATATGATGCAATGGGTACAATTAAGACATTATACAAGCGAATGAGAATGTCTGCTGGGAGATGAGAAGTTGATTTCAGTGAACTTTTGATCTTATACCATGCTCGCAAGGCCTTTCCTCTCAGTGTATTGACAGCGGCCATAAAATATATATTGTATATATGTGAATGTATGTAATTATCTGTGAACAACTGGAAATAACATGTAAATACATCAAATAATATGTAACAAATAACATAAATCAGATATACTACTACATTGTACATAAATCGTTCTTATCATTATTAGAAATAGAGGTGCCGTTTTCGCCTGTCACATAGTAGCCGTTTCCGCCAAATGCGGTGCCGTTTTCGCCAGAGAAATCGGTGACGTTTTGCTGAGGTGCCGTTTTAGCCTGCACCCATTTGTGAAATGCAGAATAATAGACTATCACTTACACTACAGGGAGGTGGAGGCTAAATCGGCACCTCAGTAAAACGTCATCGGTCGAAAATTGCTACCTATTGTTGTGCGACAACGGCACCTCATATTTTAAAAAACGATAAGAAAATTAATGCGCTTTGTTCATTGTTAGTTCATTTTTTCTTTATTTATATCCCATTTTCACCTGTTTTCGCGATGTACGACCAGTACGCAGTAAAATCATAAACGTTCTAATAAAATCATTTCATTTTCTGTTTATGTCAACAAATATCTTTCAAAGCATATTCACTCACATTTTATTGACTGCACTCTTCAAATTTAGCTGTCGCTTGCCACCATTGCAGCAGTGGCCAATATTTGGGAGATGCATCCTACGTCACCGATGATGTTTCACATGCAGAATGTATGGTGCACCGTTGATAAAAACCCAAACCAACATTTGCCACCAGCCAGAATCACCAACTCTGAACCTACATATCCCTGCTCCCGGATCCTCTGTGTTCCTTCAGTGTTCCCTAGATAGGCCTAAAAGCATATGATCTTCCTCAACCTGTACTGCTTACCATGGTCCTACAAATGATCAAACACACAGAGAATCTATCTCTGCTTTTGAATGCGCCTTGGTGGTCGGCTTAGAATTGGTTCATGGACCTTCGAGACCTCGCAGATTGCGACCCTCTCGAAACTCCCGGGATGGCCCTGCCCCTGCTGATGTTGCAATATCGGGTAATGACTGCTCCCTATCATATCACAATCCAGTACAATAACTGATCCCTGTACATCCGGGCTTTTTAAGATCATGGCCTCCGAGAGTAAAGTGTCAAGTCAGACGCGATTCTTGTTGTCTCTATAATTAGTGTTTGGATAACACGGGATATTGAAACATGGTGGCAACGGTGCGGAATTAACTTGATGTTGATGTTTACCGCTAGAATTGACGCTGTCAGTAGTGCTGGGTGCCTACACGGATGGGACAGTTCTCCAAGCGAATGAGTAATGTCGGACCTCGGCAGTTTCGCACGTGGTTTGCGACTACAGGATTTTGATGATTCTGGATTAATTATGCATTTTGTCGAATTTCACATTCGATTTCCTAACTGATGAACATTATGGATGGTCAGGAAGAACGTGAACCGGGCGGACATGACGACCACGTGGGCGTGCAGATACCGCATGGCAGGAGAATGCCATTGCCGAATTTGACACCTCCATTGCCGCTGAAAATGTCGGGTGATTTGGCAGATAATTGGAGAATGTGGAAACAGGCGTGGCAGAACTTTGTGATTGTTTCACAACTAGATGATTACCCAATGAATTACCAAGCTGCTGCTTTATTGCATTCTATCGGAACTGATGCACTAAAAGTCTACAATGCAATGGAATTCTTGCCGGAAGAGCACAGGGATGTGACTACTATTATGGCCAAGTTTGATTCATACACAATTGGAGAAACTAATGAGACGTATGAACGATACATTTTGAACAATCGTGTACAGGCAGATGGAGAAGGTTTTGAGGAATACCTCACAGCTATTCGCACACTCTCAAAGAGCTGTAACTTTTGTGAATGTCTACGTGAATCACTATTAAGGGACAAAATAGTGACAGGGATCAGAGACCCTAACACCAGGAAAAGGCTTTTACAGGAAACTAAGCTGTCACTGAAATCTTCCATTGCAATATGCAGAAGTGCTGAAGCAACCAATGTAAGAATTAAAGCCATGAATTCTGAAGATGTACACCGTGTCAGCAGACATTCAGCAGGAAACAAGTCTTATAAATATAGAGAGAGGACTGGTAAATCTCAACCTGTACAAGGGCCAAGCATGTCACAGAAGGTAGGATCTTTACAACTATGCAAGTTTTGTGGATACAAACACATTATGGACAGACGCAAATGTCCAGCCTGGGGAAAGACATGTACCCTGTGTAAGGGAAAGAATCATTATCAGCAATGTTGTCGACATGGTAACAAAGCTAGCAAGATTCACTCTGTCTCAGATGATGAAGACAGTGGAGCAGAGGAAGATGATTGTCTTGAGGTGATCAGCAGTGTGTCATTGGATCCAGATGTTGAAGTTTGCAACCAGGTTGGAAAGAAAGCAGGCTCAGATATTTTCGCTCAGATGATTGTGGAGCATGAGACCAATGTAAAATTCCAGTTGGATTGTGGAGCATCAGTAAACATTTTACCAAGGAGATTACTTAATGCTGATACTGATGTCACACCCACTTCGAAAATGCTTCGTATGTGGAATGGTTCACTGGTACACCCTGATGGTGTAACAAGACTGCTGATTCAAAACCCCAAAAACAAGAAGGCTTACAGTGTAGAATTTGTGATTGTGTCCGATGACACAAATCATCTTGTACCTTTGTTGGGTTCCAAAGCAGTGCAGCAGATGGGACTGCTAACAGTGAATGTGGACAACTTTGTTTCCGTTTGTTCAGTTTCACAGCCAGGACCAACATTAGTCAAAGAGAGGAATTCTGAGGCTATCATTAAGACTTACTCTGAAAATTTTGAACGGGAACTTGGGACCTTGCCTGGCAAAGTACACCTGCAGGTGAATCCGGAAATAACCCCAAGCGTCTCACATCAGAACAGAGTGCCTATCTCACAGAGAGAGGAATTGAGACAAGAACTAAATCGTCTTATGAAACTTGGCGTCTTGGTACCTGTGGATGAACCAACAGATTGGGTTAGCTCGTTAGTGATAGCACCCAAGAAATCAGGGGGAATTAGAATTTGTATTGACCCCAAGCGCTTAAATGAGGCACTTCGTCGTGAGCATTATCAGCTGCCTACGATCGAGGAAGTGTTGCCTGATCTGACAAATGCGAAGGTCTTCAGTACATGTGACTTGTCTGCTGGATTTTGGCATCTCGAACTTGATCTCGAATCCAGTTTGCTATGTACTTTTGGAACTCCGTTTGGTCGGTACAGATGGACCAGACTACCATTCGGGCTTAGTGTATCCCCTGAAATCTTCCAGGAACGCTTAAACCTAGCTTTGGAAGGACTACCAGGTGTCAAATGTATTGTGGATGACATCCTGATCTATGGTTCAGGGTATGACAAGATGACAGCGCAGGTTGACCATGACAAGAATCTGGAATGCCTTATGCAGCGTTGTCAGAAACTTGGTATCAAGTTGAAGAAGGAGAAACTTAAGTTGTGCAGAAAAGAGGTTACCTTTCTTGGTCACATCATCACTGATCAGGGACTTAAGTGTGACCCACAGAAAATAAAGGCTGTGTTGGAAATGCCAGCACCACAGAATGTTGAGGACATTCAACGCTTCTCAGGGTTTGTCAACTACCTTGCAAGATATTTACCTCATCTGTCAGGGGTAATGCTACCACTTCGACAATTAACACATACTGACATGGACTGGACATGGATGGAGGCACACGAGAAAGCCTTCACTGAAGTGAAAAAACTGGTTACGGAAGCTCCAGTATTGGCATACTACAATGAAGCTGAAGAACTGACACTGCAGTGTGATGCAAGTTCCACTGGACTAGGTGCTGTGCTGTTACAACAAGACAAGCCAATTGCATACGCTAGCCGTGCCCTAACACCGACTGAGTCCAGATATGCACAGATTGAAAAGGAAATGCTGTCTGTTGTTTTCGGACTTCAAAAGTTCCACACATACACATTTGGTCGGAAAGTTACAGTGGAAAATGATCATAAACCACTAGAAGCAATAACCAGCAAACCCTTAAACTGTGCTCCTAGACGACTACAGTCTATGATTCTGGCTATGCAACAGTATGACGCCACTATCAAGTACAAGAAAGGT